TTAGTCTGCTCCAGCAGTTAAATAAACTGTTTAAGATAACTCCATGTTGTCGTTCTTTTTTAAAACACAGAAACGGTTTTGTTACCTGTTATTGACGCTACAGTTTCGCCGACGACTGCCGGCTTCTTCAGGCTGACGCTGATGGTGGCGCGTCACCATCAGCGTCAGCCTGAAGAAGCCGGCAGTCGTCGGCAAAACTGTAGCGTCAATAACAGGTAACAAAACCGTTTCTGTGTTTTAAAAAAGAACGACAACATGGAATTAGAAATAACGCACAGCAAGAACACACCTAAGATGTTTAAGATAACGTTAGCTTGATATGTTAGCTTACATTGCCACCGTTGTTATCATCTAATGGTGCGTTCGCTTTCTCCTCGGAAATTCTAACTTCCCAGTGGGAAAAATCAAATGAAAAAGGACGGCAAAAGGAATGAAGATAAAGATGTTTGCTTCAGTTTAATTATCAACTTATAAAACTACAAGGACGATGTCAAAATACAAACAGTTGTATGTTATTTATCGTGATATATATCAAATGTTGTTATATATTGAGAAAAATATATATTTAATTATAAAAGAGAATTAAAAATATTAAACACTCAAAAGTATCAAAAATTGGTACCGTTAAGTACAGGTATCGATTCGTAGGTACCGGGAATTAGTACCGGATCGATTCAAATGTCAAAGGTACCCATCCCTAGTGCCCAGTCAGTACAGACATAAATGCAAAAATAAAATTAAAATACTTTTGCCAGGCACAGTTGGACATTACGTTAAATCTCTTTTTTAAATGTGAAAATATGTTTAAAAAAATGTACATCCAAAACAAAACGTGTTAGCTTTCGTGTTATTTAAATCTTACCGAGGTGAGTCAGACTCTGTTTCATTCAACTGTCCGACGTGCTTTCTCGTTAAGTGTTCATGCATCACCGAGGTGCTGCCGTGATACGCGAGGACTGCTTTGCAAATAATGCAGGTAAAATTTTTATTTGGCGAATCCCGGCTAGAATGCTCCCAAACTTTAGATGTTCTGGTACACGTAGCTGCCGTGTTGGACGCCGCCATTTCTGTTAGCTGGCGCCCCCGACCGGCATGAAGTACACCCACTGGCCCTAGGGATCACCGCCCGCAACTGTCAGTCTGACTCTGGTGCTGAAGTAATGGGTCACAACAGTAACTTCTCAATAGAGCCAACGGTAATATTTTATCATATATTGTGCTCACCGCTGCTCTAGAAGGTGCCCTCTGAAAATAAAATCCAGAGTTCTGCGTTGGCACCAACAAAACCAGAGCCTGAGTAACAAAATCATGATGGACCCCACCAATTCAGGACATAAACTACTCACTCTCCTTCTTTCAGGCAGACGACTGATCAGCGTTGAAGCTCAGAACACTGCTAAGGAACAGGTTTTTGAGGCCGGGAGACTTATGACCTCTGACATTTGAAATGTCTTCTGCTCTTTTGATCAAGTCCATCCATACATCCATTTTCATCCGCTTATCTGAAGTCAGGTCGTGGGGGCAGTAGCCTAAGTAGAGAGGCCCAGACTTCCCTCTCCCCAGCCACTTGGGCCAGCTCCTCCAGAGGAATCCCAAGGCGTTCCCTGGCCAGCTGAGAGACATAGTCCCTCCACCGTGTCCTGGGTCTACCTTTAGGTCTCCTCCCGGTTGGACGTGCCCGGAAAACCTCACCAGGGAGGCGTCCAGGAGGCAACCTGACCAGATGCCCGAGCCACCTCAACAGGCTCCTCTTGATGTGGAGGAGCAGCGGGTCTACTCCAAGCCCCTCCCAGATGACTGAGCTTCTCACCCTATCTCTAAAGGAGAGCCCAGCCACTCTTTGGAGAAAACTCATTTCGGCCGCATGTATCCGCGATCTCGTCCTTTCGGTCACTACCCAAAGCTCATGACCATAGGTGAGGGTAGGAACGTAGATCGACCAGTAAATCAAGAGCTTCACCTTCTGACTCAGCTCTCTCTTCACCACGACAGACCGGTACAACGCCCGCATCACTGCAGATGCAGAACCAATCCACCTATCGATCTCACGCTCCAGTTTTCCCTCACTCGTGAACAAGACCCCGAGATACTTAAACTCCTCCACTTGGGGCAGGACCTCATCCCTGACCCGGAGAAGGCATTCTACCCTTTTCCAAATCAAGACCATGGTCTCAGATTTAGAGGAGCTGATTCTCATCCCAGCTGCTTCTCACTCGGCTGCGAACCGCTCCAGCAAAAGCTGAAGATCACGTTCTGATGAAGCCAACAGGACCACATCATCTGCAAAAAGCAGAGACCTGATCCTCAGGCCACCAAAATGGATCCCCTCCACACCTTGGCTGCACCTAGAAATCCTGTCCATAAAGGTTATGAACAGAATCGGTGACAAAGGGCAGCCTTGGCGGAGTCCAACTCTCACTGGGAACGAGCCCGACTTACTGCTGGCAATGCGGACCAAGCTCTGACACCGGTCATACAGGCACCTAACAGCCCGTATCAGAGGGCCTGGTACACCATACTCCCGGAGTACCTCCCACAGGGCCCCCCGAAGGACGCGGTCAAACGCCTCCTCCAAATCCACGAAACACATGTAGACTGGTTGGGCAAATTCCCATGCATCCTCCAGGATCCCCCTAAGGGTATAGAGCTGGTCCAGTGCTCCACGGCCAGGACGAAAACCACATTGCTCCTCCTGAATCTGAGGTTCAACAATCCAACGGACCCTCCTGTTCAGAACCCCTGAATAGACCTTACCAGGAAGGCTGAGGAGTGTGATCCCCCTGTAGTTGGAGCACACCCGGCGGTCCCCCTTTTTAAATAAGGGGACCACCACCCCGGTCTGCCAGTCCAGTGGAACTGCCCCCGATGTCCACGCGATATTTCAGAGCCTTGTCAGCCAACACAGCCCCACAACATCCAGAGGCTTAAGGAACTCCGGACAGATCTCATCCACCCCCGGAGCCTTGCCACAGAGGAGCTTTTTAACCACCTCAGTGACCTTAGCACCAGAGATTTGAGAGGCCAAACCAAAGTCCCCAGACTCTGCTTCCTCACTGGAAGACGTGTCGGTGGGATTGAGGAGGTCCTCGAAGTATTCTGCCCACCGATCCACAACGTCCTGAGTAGAGGTCAGCAGCACACCGTCCCCACTATAGATAGTGTTGGTAGCGCACTGCTTTTCCCCTCTGAGGCGCTGGATGGTGGACCAGAATCTCCTCGAAGCCGTACGGAAGTCTTGCTCCACGGTCTCACCGAACTCCTCCCATGTCCGGGTTTTTGCCTTGGCGACCACCTGAGCCGCGTTCCACTTGGACTGCCGGTACCCGTCAGCTGCCTCTGGAGTCCCACAGGCCAAAAAGACCTGATAGAACTCTTTCTTCATTCCTCATTCTTGATCTTTTGATCAAGTCACAAACCAAAGCGATTAAAACTGAGACGTTTTTTAATTTTTGGTCTCAGAGAAGCTCTGAGAAAAAGGTCCATTAATGATGATTAGATTTCAGATCTGATCCAGTAAACCTTGACAGCTTACTTCACATTCTAAAAAATAAATAGAAACCACTGAGAAGACAAAGCAAAGAGATAAAACACACAGAGTGAAACTAGATCCAAGACAGTGCAGCTCGGTCCAATCCAAAAGAATCATTCCAAACAATCAGGTCCTGATTTCAATTCAAATACCATCCTATTCAATCCAGTTAATTTCAGATCCAGTTCATCTAAAACAAATCAGACTCAAATGATTTAACTCTATCCTTTTCAGTAGTTTAAAGAAAAGATTTCAAATTGAATTAAGTTATAATCAAATTCAATATGGTTACTTTTTAATTGGCCCAGTGTATCTAATGATTTAATTACTGTCAATTAAATCTAATTTAATTCAATATTACATGAAGCTAGGGCCGGGCGAAATGGCCTAAAATCAATATCTCTATATCGATAACGATAAATGACGATAACTACAGGTATGCAGAAACAAAAGTTGTCCACTAGATGGGGCTGTCACGTGTGTTATGTTGGGTCAGATTTTTAGTGACTCAAGTGGGCCATTCCCATCTGTACCGGGTCGGCCCGGGCCGGGTAGCCCCAGTCGGCCCCAGCCTGGCCCGGTTGATTCCACACATCCTTGTCTTAAGCCCATGTGGGCTGATTCTACCCACCAATCAGAGGCTTGCTCTAATGGAAGGTGTGAATTTGCTGTCAGCAGTGGGTGTGTTGGCCCTGGTCGGCCTGAAGCAGACCCCCTCGAGAAGAGGGCTGAGAATGAGCCTTGGTTGGCCCGGAAAAATACCAGGCCACCCAGATATGTAAACAACCTACGCTACCCGGCCCGGGCCGACCCGGTACAGATGGAAATGGCCCAAAGGTGGACCAGCTCCTTAAAGAGCAAGTCAACCCCTACCAGAGTCTAACTCCACTCCCACTTCATGTTTGAAAAATGCAACACATGCTGTTGCCTGGCAGACCGAGAGGGCGGAGCCGCTAACAAATACACACACACTCAGGCTCACGACAGCATTGTGACATCATAATGTACCAGTTTACAACATAGCATACCTCTTAGCCAATGGCGGTGGCAGATTTAAATTCAAATACAGTGCAGAGTTTTTACCTGACAATGGCACAACACTGCCAGTTTTAGGCAGAATATTTAAATTTTAACTAAGATGCACTGAAGTGCCAAATTATTGACGACACGTGTCTGCAGCACGATTAGACACTCGTTTATTTAGTTTATCAGCAAAAAAAAAGTGTATTTGGGGGTGACTTGCTCTTTAAAGGGACATGAACGTTGCCAACCTTCACACATCTTTTCATTTTTTTATTATCAAATTTATTGACGTGGGAAAATGTATCTTGATAAAAGTCAGAATTTTCGATAACGATAAATGTTCGATTTATTGTCCAGCCCTACATGAAGCCGAATGTAATCTGGTTATTTTGGGTTATCCTTCCACACTGATCTGGTGTTTGGTTTCATCTCACCTCACCTGACCTACCTGCACGGTTGCACCGTCAGCTGATTGGTCTTACAGATTCTGGTAGATGAAAAGAAAGACCGGATCACTGAAAATCATCAACTTGTCCGTGTTTCTGTGCAAAGGCGATGCACCAAATGCATCCACGAGGAGGCCAGGAACAGAAAACACCGCCTGCAGTCTGACTCCTGTGCGGTGAGCGTCTGGTTTGATCACCTGATTGGTCTGGTTCAAATAGAAACAGTTTCCACTTCATTCCTGCTCTAAAAACAAACCTTCTGCAGGGCCAGCGTCAGCCATATTGCTCGTTTAGTCTTTTCTTTTCGTTCTATTATTTACAGATCTGAAGAAAAAAGGGGGCGGGTGTGCGCCTTCTTCCTGCGAACAACAGGGGGCCTGTGTGCCAGTCCAACCTGCGGAAAGGGCAGGCACGTCCCAGACAGAGAGACGGCAGCGGACGGGGTTCGGTCCCCAGCTGGCTGCTGCGTTCTCCCGCCCCTCCCCCTCGGCGGGAGAACGCAGCTAACAAAACGAACGCTCCGTGTGTGTTGTTGACGGTTGTTTACCTGCATGGTGACTGTGGCGGGCAGGTGCATGCTAGTTTCCGCCTTACCGTTCAGGTTATTTAAACGCGGAGGTCGAAGCGGGCTAGAAGGTGTCTGGCCTCCCGCTGTCAGTCCTCAGAGTCCGTTTCGACTTCACAGGAACCAGAGAGACTTCACGGCCATCTCACCTCCAAAGGTTAAGCTAGACGAAGCGAACTTCCAAACATCCGGTTCAGCCTTTCACAGTAAAAGCACTGACGCGAGACTGCAATGCAACAACTTTAGTCACACACCGCTAAAGAACATGTAAATACCTTATCTTAAATATCATTATGTACTGGTTCAGTAAAACTGCGATGTTTTAAAACCCATATTAGAAAGAGAAAGTGGTTCACAGCCCAATTTCCCCTGCAAAAGTTCTATCTAATGAGATGTAGCCTCGTCACCAGGGTTGTTTTATTAATAGAAAAAAGTATTTAAAGTAAAATTTTGTGTTAAAAGAGAATTACATCATGGTGGATTCAAACAAAATCACAATTTGCCAAAACAGAGAGGTTGTAAAGTGTTGCTAGGGCACATTTAGTCCGAAAGAGTGTGAATAGAGCACATTTAGGAACGTTTTCACCTAACGTGACACACAAAGCATGATCAATCGTGTTTCTATAAACTGTACCAAATGTTTCTGTATGAAAACTTTGAATATTACAATAACCAGCCTTTAATTAAACCGATATAAACCACCAGCATCCTTTTCTGCAGGGCAGAGGCGTCCAAATAGCAGCCCATAGGCCATTTGAGCCCATCAAAGCGATGTTGTGAGATCTTTGGTTGATTTTTGGACACCAACCCCGACTGTAAGGTGCTGATAGACACTTTAGAAAATGTTTGTACTCAGATTTTTACTAATGTTTTTCTAACTAAACCCAGAACCTAGCCTTTACTGTAAGACATAAATTCATCAGGGTTTCTTTTTGAATAAAGCTAACGATGGCAGAGGAGTAAGGTGTCTGCCCCGTAACCAGAGGGTTGCAGGTTTGAGCCCATCTGCTGCAGTCGTTGTGTCCTTGGGCAAGACACATCACCCTCCTAACCTGCTGCTGGGTGTGGTCCAGGGTTGGACTGGAACGACAATTCGGCCCTGGCATTTTATGGCTCGTTGGCCCTTAGAGCAGGCTGAGGGGTGTCTGACCACAGAGTTTGGGGGGGTTCAGCCCAATCGGGGCAAGCGGCCCACCGGGAAAGTGCCAGAATGCCAGATAGGCCAGTCCACACCTGTGGCCTGAGGGGCCGGCGGTGGCACGTGCTCAACAGCCTTGCGTCTGTCAGTGCACCCCAGGACGACTGTGGCTGCATTGTAGCTCATCATCATTAGTGTGTGAATGTGTGAGTGATTGACTGGCTGTGCTGTAAAGCGCCTTGAAGGGTTGTAGAACTGTAGAAGGTGCTATATAAATACATTTGCCTGGTTCCTGGGGGCACAGCCCCTCACTGACTTTTACTTAATTACAGGCGTATCGTGACTAAGAGCTCCGTTCATAAAGTGTGACTAAATTAAACAAACAAGCAGAAGAAAAAGTGATGCAAAGCCTGATTATGGACTCAGTTCTTTTACAGACCAGTAATTAGAAGATAATCCACCTATCTGGTGCTTTTATTTTATTAAGACAAATGCTAAAGAGCCTTTTGATGCCTCATGGACAAATATTTACTTTTCTGACTGTTATGACTTTTTAATTAAAGTATTGTGAGTTCCACTTTTCGTTCAGCAAGTAAAAATGAACCGAGTCACAGAAAACCCACAAGTTAATTCACCTTGATGATTTTTTTTTGTTCCTCCTAAAAGGTTCGGACCCCCTTTGTAGAGTTAACATTTCACATACTGAAATGTACTGTTTAAGGAACATGGCAGATGTTGTGCTTTTATTTTTACTTTTCTCGCCACACTTCCGGGATTTTGCTGCCACCTTGACGCCCCTCCCTCTCGCTCTCCGCCCCTGCTTTTAGTTGCCAAATAGTGCAACCGAGAGGAAATACACGAACACAGTCTGGCGCATTACGCTGTTTTCCCCTGCCTAATAGTGTTCCGTCCTTCTGTTGAATGCGACAGCAGAGGAGACAGACAGGATGAATGGACGCATGGACCGGACTGTCAGATGTGTCACGTGATCAAGAATAATCATAAAACTCATTCTTGTGGTCCTGCTCAGATCTGAGACGTCGGGTAAAGGAGTCCATCGGCAGCTCTTTGATGCATCACTGAACATCATAAAATATATTTGTGTGTTTTTAGCAGAGGTGTGGACTCGAGTCACATGACGTGGACTTGAATCAGACTTGAGTCATTATTCTAATGACTTCTGACTTGACTTGATAAAATCCATAAAGACTTACGACTTGACTTGGACTTGAACGCCAATTGCGACTTGAATCGACTTGCATCTGTTGACTTGATGATGACTGGAGCATATTTGATATTTTAGCACAAAAGTGGCGCGACATGGACAAAAATCATAAATCATTCTTTTTTTTTCGTGTCCTGTCTGGCTGTGAAGCAAAAATAAACAATAATGAACAAGAGTCTGCTTCTAGACCTGCAGAAAGAGAAAAAAAAGGGACACACAACAATACAACAAGATCAAGCTATCACTGCGTCAACTTGATGTAGAAATATAAAATCAACATAGTTTAACTGAACAATCACACGATAATAAATCACAGTGCATTTAGTGCCAACCACAGCCTTAAGACCTGTGTTGAACGTGCCCAAGTCCATACTTATGAGAGCACCATGTGAGCACCTGTGTGTGTACACGCGCTTGTTTATGTAAGGTTTCTCTATGGGAGCGTCCAATAGAGAGTGTGAGGGGCCACAGATCTGCCCCCCAAAGATGTGTAGGAGACGAAGGGAGCTCCAAGTCCCAGAGATCCAGGAGCTGCCCCAGAACACAGGAACCCCAGGGAGACTGCGACCAGAAAAGCCCCCGCCCCCCTCGTTGTCGATTCAAGTCGCCAATTGCGACTCGAATCGACTTGCATCTGTTGACTTGATGATGACTGGAGCATATTTGATATTTTAGCACAAAAGTGGCGCGACATGGACAAAAATCATGAATCATTCTTCGTTGCAGAACTTTGTTTATAATCAGTTTCACTTTCTGCTTGTTTGAGCAAATAAATGAAGCTTTAAATCTGGAAATTATTTCTTATCGTTGTCATTAGATTGAAGTTGGACAGATGACTTGATTATGACTTGAAAATTCAAGTTAAGGACTTGGACTTGACTTGGACTTCCAGATCATTGACTTTGGACTTGGTTGTCATTGACTTGGACTTGACTCGAGACTTGAAAGACTTGTGACTTGCAAAGCAGAGACTTGGTCACACCTCTGGTTTTTAGTGAAGCAACACTTTTATACAACAGAAACCTGACAAAAAAAATGTCGTGACCGTTAACAGACGTGTGATCCGACTCAGACCTGCAGCAGTTTTATAAAATGGTCTAACGGGATGAGGGTCAGCCGTTCCAAGTCTCATACGGGAAAAATCACGTGGGATTCTACCTCCAGATTGAGAGTGAGTGATGCTAGGAGGGAGGTACACGGGTCATTGCTCTGGTGAAAAGAGACCTGAGGGAACTTTACTGGTTGGTCTAAGATCTTGGAATTTGGATCATCACTGAAAGGACAATATCCTGGATCCGAGTGCCTGAAATGATCCTCGTCTGAGACAGGTTCAGACTTAGGAATAAGATCGATGAGCTCCGTGATCCACGCAGAAACCCAGAGTAGACCTGTGGCTCCTCCTCGTGGAAATGAGTCAGCTGAGGTGGTTGAGAAGGTGAGACCCCTCTCTAGAGGCTTTTCAGACAAAATGATTATATGTCCTCCGGGTCTAGAAACACTGCTTAGATGATCTTTCAGCCTTCCCTTCTAAAAGGCAAGCAGCTTTATTTCTGCAGCACGTTTCACACACAGAAGCAATTCACCGTTTTCCAGGTGCAAGAGCGTAAAATATTTAAATCTATGTGGCAACACAAAACAGCAAATTATAAAATACACAAATAAAATTAGATGTAAGAATAAAATATAAACACAAAGTTAAAGAGTGAGCAGTTACAGCGCAGCACAAGAAACATCCTTTTGTTTATTCATGTTTGTTTCCTCTGATTACATCATTTAGTTCTTTTTAACACAGGAAATGTCACGATCTGCCCCTGCCCGCCTGACTGTGTTCCTCTCCTGCCATGATTACCCTTATTGTTCTCACCTGTCCCTCGTTTACCTGCCCATGTTTCCCTAATTAGCCCTCTGTACTTAAACCACCTGTTTTGCCCCTGTCCTTTGTCAGTTCATTGTTGTTGTTTGTTGGTGTTCCTGTTCATCTCATCCTGCCATTAAACCATTTTAACTTTTACTGAAGCCTGCATTTTTCCTCCTGCTCAGCTCAACCACACATGGTCCATCATCTCCACCTCCT